GCGACCATTTGGTTAGATTTAGCTTTAGGTGTTAGCTTTTGGAGGGTTAGTCCGGGCGTCTCTTTTTCGTTCTTCCTGGTTAGATTACTGGAACTTGCTGTACTGAGGCCTGAGAATAAGCTTAGTAAAGACCATAGACTGCCCAAAAATTGGGCTCTCATGGAGTGATTCAAAATGGCCGCGGGGGCTGGAAAATGTGAAAATACGTATCTGTGCATGCGTCAGCTGCACAAGCCCCATTCATTTAAACGAGAGACTTCTAAAGTCCACAGCGACTAAACTAGACTGGTCCAGAACACTCAGCATTGACACACATGTGGAACGGAGCTTTGGGCCAAGAGCCACTTTTGGACCATCCTGTAAAGACGTTTTTGAGAGGTCAGAATATGCTATATGTTAGCATTGGCTAATTCTTCTTCCGGGTCCACCCCCACAGGCCCGGGGTGGTATTGCAGCATGTCAGAGCACGTCATTTTGGCCACTTTTGAGCCGGGACCCGCCCACACTGATAAAGACATACAGAGAAGAGAGCACATCACCCCTGTGCTGGCATCACCTCACTGGCTCCTTGTTCCTTTCAGATTTTAAGATTCCGATGCTTGTTTTGAAATGTTTACACAGTTTAGCCCCTTTACTTTTATCTCTGTCTGCTTCTGTCAGATCTGTGGGAAACCAACTTTTGTTGAACGTCCCCAGAACTCAGAACTGGAGGAGACAGGACTTTGCTGCTGTTCCCAAATTGTGGACTAGTGACCTCTGACCTCTGTTTTTTAGATAACCCTAACCCACGTTCATTTGAGGTTTTTAAATTGAGTCTGAAGTGTGTGCCTCTCTTACTGTTTTTAAAGAGGTAGATCAATATCCCCCTATGGACCAATATCTGTGTTCTATATTCTTTGTGTTTTGACTGTTTTATTCTCCGATATCTGTGTTGGCGATTTCAACGGTTTTGTTAAGTCCTTCGAGATGAATTGAAGTATGGAAAGACTCAATACTAAGATTACATTAGAATTGTAATTATTGTCATGATTGCACACACACACAGACAGATATACACACACACACACACACACAGACCCACACATACACACACAAAACAGACAGATCCACAGACACACACATGTATACAAACAGACATAGACACACACACATACAGACATAGACACACACTCACACATAAACACACACACACACAGACAGACAGACGCACCCTTTCTCACTCAAGCACACAGAAACACTCACACACACACACATAGATACACACTCTCTCACTCACGCACACAGAAACACACACACACAGACACACACTCTCTCACTCACACACACAGAAAGACTCACACACACACACACACACACACATAGACACACACACTCTCACTCACACACACAGAAACACACACACACACACACAGACACACACTCTCACTCACACACACATAGACACACACTCTCACTCACACACACACACAGAAAGATCCATAGACACACACTTGCCGTGATAATCCAGTGAAGAGGCGTCGACAGGGAGGAGGAGGGTTGCTGCTCGAACAGGAGCTTGATGCCGCAGCAGACCTCACACCTGTGCAGCTGATCGCCCTTAAAACCGACTGAATATCCGCTTTAGCTGCATTTATTTATGTTTATAGTGTGAAATTTCGGTACCCCAGCTTTAACAAACGCATCCGTGTTTATTACCGACACTTTGAATTTCTCTGACAAATCCCAGGGTCCGGATTCAGACCAGATTCTTCCATTGTTACCGACACAGAAGCGGCGTTCAGGTCCTCTCCCATCCCACTCTCACACATTAGCATCACGCGTTCTTTAGCAGTGGATTTGACACCATCATACGTCCCCTTTAAACCTCTTCCCTCACTCTCACTATAATAACCCGTCATTTACAGCACGTTCAATCACAGGCCGTGCACACACAAATCAATTCTCCTTTCAATTAGCCCCCTCTGCCTCCGGAACCATCTCTGGGGCCTCCCTCCCACCACCGGGCCCCTGTTTACCCACTGCCTCAGGACACAACACCTCTCTCTCTCTCTTTTTCTTTTAATCTGTCACCTTCTTTTCCCCTCATTCTCTTCTCTTTCTCCTGTGTTTTTATTCACGGTTTGCATCTGGCTGCCGTCCCGCTCTCTCTGGCCCTGTCCCGGTGGGTTAGGGGACCGGGGGCCTCCTCTATCAATCTGCTCTCGAACACGTTAGCCTCGTTCGCTTAATCACTGCCGCTAATTAGAGCTAATTACTCACCCCGGAGACACAGCCCCCTCCGACGGCGCGGTCTGAAGGTCCTCCGTGGCCCATAGGTAGCTAGTAGCCTGTCAACCCCTGCGTTTTATGGCTAGCATTAATGGCTAATCTCGTGAGCTCGCCTTCGGTATGGAAGCGATAAAGCTAAAGGTGATTCTGATTGGTCGAGGAACTCTGCCTTTGGGTTCAGATGGATTAAAACGACGTGAAGGTGAGATTTGTACTTTTTCGAAATGTCAAAAAATGTTAAAGTAGGTCTGTAAATAAAAAGGCGTATTTTTGATTAATGGATTAGTTTTTTACACTTTGGTCCAGGTCCTGGGTCTTTGCACTGGCTTCTTGTGGTTCAGAGGAGACTAGACTTTAGGCCGGTTTGGTGCTTAGATCCCGGCAGACTAAAGATTGTGAAATTAAATCCGCCGAAGCCGAGACCCCGGTGGTGGGAGCGAGAAGGGTGAAAGAGCTGGTCTGGGACGAGGAGATGGGGAGGAGGAGGGTTGCTGCATGAAAAAACAAGCTTCTGGCTTCCTATGGCTTCATTTAAAATCTGAGCAAAAACCAGGAACTCTTCAGCCCCTCCACCCGACCCTCCCCTTCTCAGCCTCTCACCTCCTTACCCCTCATCTCCCCTCTCCCTTCAATAGCCCCTCCCCTACCCTCACCTCCTCAACCCTCATCTCAACTCCACTCCTCTTCAGCTCCTCTCCCCAGCCCCTCCCCTCTCATCTCCCCAGCACCTCTCACCTCCTCAGCCCCTCATCCCTCCCCTCTCCTCACCAACCCCTCCCATATTCTGTCTTCAAACCCTCCCTTCCCCCCCTCTCACTCACCTCTCCCCTCCCCAGCCCCTCTCCCCTCCCCAACACCTCTCACCTCCTCAGCCCATACCCTCACCTCCCCTCTCCCTATCTCTCACCCCTCTCACTCCCCTCTCCTCCCCCCTCCTCTCCTCTCCTCTCTCCCCCCCTCCCCTTTCTCCCCTCCCCAGCCCCTCTCCTCTCCCCTCCCCTCTCTCCTCCCCCCCCCTCCTCTCCCCTCCCCGCCCCCCCTCACCTCTCCCCTCCCCTCCTCTCTCCCCTCCCCTCTCCTCTCCTCCCCTCCACTCTCCTCTCCTCTCCCCTCTCTCCTCTCCCCCCCCCCCCTCCTCTCCCCTCCCCGCCCCCCCTCACCTCTCCCCTCCCCTCTCCTCTCCTCCCCTCCTCTCTCCCTTCCCCTCCCCTCTCCTCTCCTCTCTCCTCTCCCCTCTCTCCCCTCCCCCCTCATCTCCTCCCCCCTCCTCTCCCCTCCCCTCTCCTCTCCTCCCCTCCTCTCTCCCTTCCCCTCCCCTCTCTCCCCTCTCCCCCCTCCCCTCCCCTCTCCTCTCCTCCCCTCCTCTCTCCCTTCCCCTCCCCTCTCCTCTCCTCTCCCCTCTCCCCTCCCCTCCCCTCCCCTCCCCTCTCTCCCCCCCTCCCCTCCCCTCCTCTCCCCTCTCTCCCCTCCCCCCTCATCTCCTCCCCCCTCCTCTCCCCTCCCCTCTCCTCTCCTCCCCTCCTCTCTCCCTTCCCCTCCTCTCTCTCCTCTCCTCTCCTCCCCTCCTCTCTCCCTTCCCCTCCTCTCTCCCCTCTCTCCCCTCTCCCCCCTCCCCTCCCCTCTCCTCTCCTCCCCTCCTCTCTCCCTTCCCCTCCTCTCTCCCCTCTCCCCTCTCCCCCCTCCCCTCCCCTCTCCTCTCCTCCCCTCCTCTCTCCCTTCCCCTCCTCTCTCCCCTCTCTCCCCTCTCCCCCCTCCCCTCCCCTCTCCTCTCCTCCCCTCCTCTCTCCCTTCCCCTCCTCTCTCCCCTCTCTCCCCTCCCCCCTCCCCTCCCCTCTCCTCTCCTCCCCTCCTCTCTCCCTTCCCCTCCTCTCTCCCCTCTCTCCCCTCTCCCCCCTCCCCTCCCCTCTCCTCTCCTCCCCTCCTCTCTCCCTTCCCCTCCTCTCTCCCCTCTCTCCCCTCCCCTCCCCTCCCCTCTCTGTCATTAATTGGCCGCCGTGACTCCTTGGTCCGTGTCGCCTCTGGCTCAGTTTTTTCTCTGGTGGTAATTCTGTCTTAATAGATTGAATTTGCTTTCATTTGGTTTGTATCGATCCTTTGGACCTGCTTTGTCTCGTCAACCACAGAAACCTGTAATTTCTCACTAAAGTTTGAGGCCCACAGTGAAAAAAAAGCTCATTTAATTTGTAAATATTGAGCGAGTTATTAAAAAAAGAGAGAAATGACAAATGATGTGAAGCCTGACTGAGCTCTGGTCTCTGCGGCTGGGACCAGACCAGGGTCCAGGACCAGACCAGGGTCCAGGACCAAGGACTGAGGACCTGGATCTGGATCTGGACTAAAGACCAGGTTTATGAGGGTTTTTTATTCTATAAAGATTGTATTGTGTCCTTAACATAAATTAATATACATGTGTTCTATGTGTGTCTGTCTTGATTTTCTTTTTTTTGGGGGGGGGGTTATTTTGGAACAATGTGTTCTGTCCTGACTGTTCCGGTTCTGACTGTGCACCAGTATTTACACCAGTATTTACAGCTGTATTTACAGCAGTACATACATGAGACCGAGATGATAAAAGTTTTAGAATAACATCTGTCTCTGTCTCCTCAGACTTTCATCTCGGTTCTTTCCTTCGTGTTTAAATAATAAATAATAATAACTTCGTCCTCGTCGGCAGCGTCTGGGCGTAAACAAAACCCAAATCTAAAAGTAATAAACAGTAAATCCTGCAGATTATGGAGAAGGCAGAAGCGGAACCAGAGCCCGACTTGTTTTTGTCTGAACGTTTTTGTGACGACCTTCAGGAACCGACGGGAGCGGGACGGGAGCGGGACGGGAGCAGGACGGGAGCAGGACGGGAGCGGGACGGGGACGGGACGGGAGCGGGACGGGGACGGGACGGAAGCGGGACGGGGACGGGACGGGAGCGGGACGGGACGGACGGGAGCGGGACGGGAGCGGGACGGGAGCGGGATGACGGAGCGGGACGGATGACGGGAGCGGGACGGGAGCGGGACGGACGGGAGCGGGACGGAGCGGGACGGGAGCGGGACGGGACGGGAGCGGGACGGGACGGACGGAGCGGGACGGGGGGACGGAGCGGGACGGAGCGGAGCGGGACGGGACGGGGAGCGGGACGGGAGCGGGACGGGAGCGGGATGACGGGAGCGGTACGGGAGCGGGATGACGGGAGCGGGACGGGAGCGGGACGGGACGGGAGCGGGACGGGAGCGGGACGGGAGCGGGACGGGACGGGAGCGGGACGGGACGGGAGCGGGACGGGGACGGGACGGGAGCGGGACGGGAGCGGGACGGGAGCGGGACGGGAGCGGGAGCGGGACGGGAGTGGGACGGGAGCGGAGCGGGACGGGAGCGGGACGGGAGCGGGACGGGAGCGGGAGCGGGACGGGAGTGGGACGGGAGCGGAGCGGGACGGGAGCGGGACCGGGAGCGGGACGGGAGCGGGACGGGAGCGGGACAGGGCCGACTTTGGGAGAGAAAGAGAATAACATAACTGAGGCCTGTTCAAACCTTTGGGCAAGTTTTGGTGCACAAGCACAGCTGCCACATCATGGATGTCAGGGTGAGACCGAGGCCTGGGGTATGGCACAGCCAGGGCCCCACCGGAGCCAGGCCTGGGGTTGGGGCCTGTATGCGAGCGTCTGGTGCCGGGCCTTAGCCCACGGGGCCCAGGGCTCAGCCCGAAGGGACGACGTGGGCAGTGGACCCACCACCTGCAGAGGGGTCCATGGGGCATCGGTGACTCAGTCCGCACGCACAGCACCTGCCTCTGGGGACGTGGTCACCTCACTGGGGGGGAAGGAGCCTGAGCCCTCAACTCCTTGAGAGGGGTTGGACGCTCCACTTCTCTGGTGTTTCTTGTGGGGAGAGGCGGCGAGCTGGGGTGGCCATTCTCTATTTGCCCCCCATCTCAGCCGGCACGTGTCGGAGTTTTCCTCGGTGAAGTCTCTCACTGATGTTGGGGCAGACCCAAGCGTGTAGTGAGGGTCTGCTGGGAACGTCTCGCTGAGCCCCCTGTCAGACGGACTTTCAACTCACACCTCCAGGAGAGCTTCTCCCAGGTCCCGGGGGAGGAGGGGGACATGGAGTCTGAGTGGACCATGTTCTCTTCCTCTATCGCTGATGCGGCGGCTCGTCGCTGTGGTCTCTGGTGCTGGTCCCGGCGGCAACTCCAGAACCCGGTGGTGGACACCGGTGGAAAGGGACGCCGTCAGGCTGAAGAAAAACCATTTATAAAACTATAATCCACACCATGACATCATCTTCTTTGTAACTGTTTGTTTTGATTTAGGTCCAAACAAAACCACGAGAGGAATGCATCAGATCAAACCGCATCAGTAAAGTTACTCTGTGTAACTTTACTTTAATCTAATGTAACTGACAGTCAGCGGCGCCTGATGGAGCAGTAAAGTTACTCTGTAAAGTTACTCTGTAAAGTTACTCTGTGTAACTGAGTGAGCGGCCTCTAATGGAGCCGTCACTGTCACAGCGACGTTTGTAGATTTGAATAATGTCGAAGAATGTTTCAGTCTTTTGTGGATTCTGCTCAAACAGCGTCACATTAAGGAGCTCCACAAACTTATCGTCCTCATAATTCTGTTTAAACACGGGGCCAAATCTGCAGAACGGGCAAATATTGTCATTATTTTTGAAGGATTTTCGTTTTCAGAGTGAGTGGAACTGTCACGAGGCGGAAACTTACGGACGATGGCGAACCAGGACTTTTTCATTTTCACAAACTGCAGAAACTTTCTGAATCCAAACTTATTTCTCTTAAAGCCGAGGTACTTGACTTTTCACACCAGGACTCCCAGAGGACTGAAGCTTCTAGAACTCCCAGAGCAGTCATTTTAACGGCTCTCTCTGAAATCAGAATCATTCATTAAAGACCACAGTGGATTTAGTTTGTGTTAACTTAACCGTGTGCTACAAACACACACGGGTCTGACAGTGGAATCCTGAAGATGCTGAATCCGTCCAGAACCGGATCAGAAAAGGTTTAGAGCAGTTCATCACGTTCTGTGTTTTAACAAAATGAACAAATCAAACCTGGTTTTGCTTCTGTTCAAAGTCAGAGTCTCTGCGGAAATGATGCAAATGTAGAGAAACGTTATCAAAGTTTACACACACTCACACAGAGACACACACACAGAGACAGACACACACACAGAGACACACACACACACACACACAGAGACACACACACACAGACAAACACACACAGAGAGACACACACACACATAGAGACACACACGCTCACACAGAGACACACACACAGAGACAGACACACACAGAGACACACACACACACACAGAGACACACACACACAGACAAACACACACACACATAGAGACACACACACACACAGAGACACACACACACACAGAGACACACACACACAGAGAGACACACACATACACACAGAGACACAAACACACACACAGAGACACACACACATACACACAGAGACACACACACACACATACACACAGAGACACAAACACACACACACAGAGACACACACACAGAGACACACACACACACATACACACAGAGACACACACATACACACAAAGTGACACACACACAGAGACACACACATACACACAAAGAGACACACACACACACACACACAGAGACACACACATACACACAAAGAGACACACACACACACACAGACACACACACACACACACACATACACACAGAGACACACACACAGAGACACACACATACACACAAATAGACACACACACACACACATACACACAGACACACACACACACACACATACACACAGAGACACACACACAGAGACACACACACAGACACACATACACACAGACACACAGAGACACACACACAGAGAGACACCCACAAACACACACACTCGGTGCTTCCTCTAGATTGATTAGAATCGTGCTGTTTAATGCATCTTCACATTTGCTCTGGATCCCGAGGAAAGAACCAAGAAATTCAATTAAATACAATGTGTTTTGGATAAATCACGGCAGCAGTCGTCTCAGGACTGAGGCTGTAGACCGAGGACTGAGGCTGTAGACCCAGGACTGAGGCTGTAGACCCAGGACTGAGGCTGTAGACCCAGGACTGAGGCTGTAGACCCAGGACTGAGGCTGTAGACCCAGGACTGAGGCTGTAGATCCAGGACTGAGGCTGTAGACCCAGGACTGAGGCTGTAGACCCAGGACTGAGGCTGTAGACCCAGGACTGAGGCTGTAGACCCAGGACTGAGGCTGTAGACCCAGGACTGAGGCTGTAGACCCAGGACTGAGGCTGTAGACCCAGGACTGAGGCTGTAGACCCAGGACTGAGGCTGTAGACCCAGGACTGAGGCTGTAGACCCCGGACTGAGACTGTGGATCCAGGACTGAGGCTGTAGACCCAGGACTGAGGCTGTAGACCCAGGACTGAGGCTGTAGACCCAGGACTGAGGCTGTAGACCCAGGACTGAGGCTGTAGACCCAGGACTGAGGCTGTAGACCCAGGACTGAGGCTGTAGACCCAGGACTGAGGCTGTAGACCCAGGACTGAGGCTGTAGACCCAGGACTGAGGCTGTAGACCCAGGACTGAGGCTGTAGACCCCGGACTGAGACTGTGGATCCAGGACTGAGACTGTAGACCCAAGACCGAGACTGTGGATCCAGGACTGAGACTCTAGATCCAGGACCGAGACTGTAGACCCAGGACTGAGGCTGTAGACCCAGGACTGAGGCTGTAGACCCCGGACTGAGACTGTGGATCCAGGACTGAGACTGTAGACCCAAGACCGAGACTGTGGATCCAGGACTGAGACTCTAGATCCAGGACCGAGACTGTAGACCCAGGACTGAGGCTGTAGACCCAGGACTGAGGCTGTAGACCCAGGACTGAGGCTGCAGACCCAAGACCGAGACTGTGGATCCAGGACTGAGGCTGTAGACCCAGGACCGAGACTATAGACCCACTAGCAAAAATCCCAGACCAGTTTCAGAGCCAGAACAAACATCACTCACTAAAATCCACCAGAAATAACAAAATGGCCGCTTGTCCAATCCCTCCTGTACCTGGTGTGAGAGAAAACCCACAGTATGTTCTTTTTTCTCTCAAACTGCAATCTCCTGCCAATATTCAAGAGTCAATATCTCAGAGTTTAAACGGCGGCCAATAACGCTGCATAAACAGCTCCTGACGGCGGCGAGGGATTAAAAAAGCAGACGGCGAAGCGTTTTGTGTTGAATGAATTTTCCGCCTTTATAAACGTCTGCGGCGCTGGTTCTGAGGCTCTCCTGAAAGCAGATCCATCTCTGGTCTCTCTCTGGTTTCTCTCTGGTCTCTCTCTCTGGTCTCTCTCTCTGGTCTCTCTCTGGTCTCTCTCTGGTCTCTCTCTCTGGTCTCTCTCTGGTCTCTCTCTAGTCTCTCTCTGGTCTCTCTCTCTGGTCTCTCTCTCTGGTCTCTCTCTCTGGTCTCTCTCTGGTCTCTCTCCGGTCTCTCTCTGGTCTCTCTCTGGTCTCTCTCTCTGGTCTCTCTCTGGTCTCTCTCTAGTCTCTCTCTCTGGTCTCTCTCTGGTCTCTCTCGCTGGTCTCTCTCTGGTCTCTCTCCGGTCTCTCTCTGGTCTCTCTCTGGTCTCTCTCTCTGGTCTCTCTCTGGTCTCTCTCTCTGGTCTCTCTCTGGTCTCTCTCTGGTCTCTCTCTCTGGTCTCTCTCTGGTCTCTCTCTGGTCTCTCTCTGGTCTCTCTCTCTGGTCTCTCTCTGGTCTCTCTCTAGTCTCTCTCTCTGGTCTCTCTCTGGTCTCTCTCTGGTCTCTCTCTGGTCTCTCTCTCTGGTCTCTCTCTGGTCTCTCTCTAGTCTCTCTCTCTGGTCTCTCTCTGGTCTCTCTCTGGTCTCTCTCTGGTCTCTCTCTGGTCTCTCTCTCTGGTCTCTCTCTGGTCTCTCTCTCTGGTCTCTCTCTGGTCTCTCTCTAGTCTCTCTCTCTGGTCTCTCTCTGGTCTCTCTCTCTGGTCTCTCTCTCTGAAAGGGGACCCATCTTTCCGATAAGTCCTTTCTGTCTCGGCTCATCAGTTCCAGGGAGAGACATGTTCATTTGAAGTTTATTTTTAGCCTGGAACGTGGAGCTCCGGTGTTGGTTTTTGCCGGGAGTCTGGAGGTTTCTCTGTACAAACGGCGGCCGCACTGCCCGCTGGCCGCCGAGCAAACACCGCAGTCCGAGACATTTGAAATATTTAAACACGGAGGGGAGTCATAAATATGCTCTGAGAGAGTTTGGATTAGGAGAGAGCGCAATTATTCATGTGGAGTTTGAGAAGTTTAAAAGAGAAACAGGACTTTGTTGGACTTTAACATAGTATTGAGACTATTTACTTTTCCGTTTCATGTTTTAAAATATGAACTACTATAAAAGAAGCTCTGCCTGTAACTCCTTATGCTGCCACTAGAGGGAGGAGTGGCATTTGTTTGGTTTTCCGAATTTGACACTCAAGTCTCTCTCTCTGGTCTCTCTCTGGTCTCTCTCTGGTCTCTCTCTGGTCTCTCTCTCTGGTCTCTCTCTGGTCTCTCTCTCTGGTCTCTCTCTGGTCTCTCTCTGGTCTCTCTCTCTGGTCTCTCTCTGCTCTCTCTCTGGTCTCTCACTTGTCTCTCTCTGGTCTCTCTCTCTGGTCTCTCTCTGGTTTCTTTCCAGTCTCTCTCTGGTCTGCCACTCCGGTCTCTCTTTGGTCTCTCTCTGGTCTCTCTCTGGTCTCTCTCTGCTCTCTCTCTGGTCTCTCACTTGTCTCTCTCTGGTCTCTCTCTGGTTTCTTTCCAGTCTCTCTCTGCTCTCTCTCTGGTCTCTCACTTGTCTCTCTCTGGTCTCTCTCTGCTCTCACTCTGCTCTCTCTCTGCTCTCTCTCTGCTCTCACTCTGGTCTCTCACTTGTCTCTCTCTGCTCTCTCTCTGCTCTCTCTCTGCTCTCTCTCTGCTCTCTCTCTCTGCTGTCTCTCAGATCTCTCACATGTCTCTCTCTCTGGTCTCCAGCACTGAGACAGGAGCTTTTTGACAGTAAGTTTTTGATTATTTTTATTATAGGCCATTTTTCACTATATGTCTCCTTTAAAGTTGACCCTCGTGTTTAAAGAGGACATCACTTCAGTCTGCTTCATGTGATGATCTTTATCTTACATATTTACTTTATTTTAAATCTAATTTTTGATAAATATCGACAGGAAACTGAGTGGAGCGTGTTTCAGCACCATGGACAGCACCATGGACAGCACCATGGAGACAGCACCATGGACAGCACCATGGACAGCACCATGGGCAGCACCATGGGCAGCACCATGGACAGCACCATGGGCAGCACCATGGACAGCACCAGTCAGACTCAGAATCTCACTGGTTTCTCTCAAGTCCCTATTTTTTTTAATTCCCATTCCAATCGTGGCAAAAGTAATTACAGCACTTCTATGTAAGAGTCAGATCATGTCAGACCTCTGAAGCTAAGCAGGGTAGGGCCATGTTAGTGTTGTGATGGGAGACACTTCACTCACATTAGAATGAGTGTGTGTGTGTGTGTGTGTGTGTGTGTGTGTGTGTGTGTGTGTGTGTGTGTGTGTGTGTGTGTGTGTGTGTGTGTGTGTGTGTGTGTGTGTGTGTGTGTGTGTGTGTGTGTGTGTGTGTGTGTGTGTGTTTGTTTTCTGGTTTACGAGGCCGATTTTCAAGACTTTTCTCCGAGTAAGGAGGACCCTCCGGTTTAGGAGGACAATTTGCTGTCCTCATAAAAATTACATTCTAAATCGTTTTCTATGCATTTTTTAATGCCTAAAAAGTGGTTTTCTCAAAAGTCTTTTTAATCCAGAAACCTGAGAAAAGTGGTAAATTTGTGTGTCCGCCACTGCCCCTAGTGGTGGGTTTCTCCCGCGCGGGAAAAAGGGGAATTATACACAACCGCGGGAAAATATACACACACACACAAAGTCAGCACTGCGCATGCTCCGTGGGGAAGGACAACAGAGCGTCTTTTCTGTCAAGGGGAAGTTTATGCATTTCTGCAGTAATTATACACCCACAAAGGAGACAGGAGAGGAGCAGCCGCGCAGAGGGACACAGGACATGGAGAGACACCCGCACGGAGGTAGGAGAGAGTTTTCACTGTCACCACATAGCACAAAGCAGCCTAGTTTAGCAGCAGAGCTAACGCTAAAGCTAACGCGAATGTGTGCTGCAGCCACTTGTTCAGAAAATCTACAGCAACTATATTGTCCACAGAGGAGACAGGGCCGTGGTGAGTCAATACTGGGAAGAGTTACAGCTGGCCACAGTTTGTTTAGCACAAAGTATCCTAGATTAGCTGCGGAGCTAAGTGGCTAACGCCCTGTTTATGCATACTACATAATGCCTATTGCTTTTATAAGGCCAGTTAGAAGACTACAATTATAAGAACAATAGAGATAAGACATTTGAGGTATTTATTATGATGCACTTTTTGCAGAAATCATACAAATAGGCTTTGATTATCCATTAATGGCAAAGGGCATAGCATAATCCTTATGCCATAAAATTATAAGTGTCCCATTTAGCCCACATAGTCCATAACCTCCAACATCTGCTTCCACTAGGATGTGAGTGACTTGATGATGAAATAACAATAGTATAATAATTGAGCTTTTGATTTGAGCTTCAAAACACTGCTTCAAACTTGATGACTAGGTAAATGTTTTGTGAATGTTAAGAGGACAGAAGTAATTTACTGTTTGAAAAACTATGAGAGGAACCAGAGAGTCGAGTCCTGCAGCGGGACATCAGGGAGTCCTCTTTTGAGGTTAGCTTATTTATGGCTGTTTGTTAAAGAAATAAGTCCCATTGTTTTACAATAGCTAATAAAAGAAGTATTCGTCCCTACTGTGGGACAAATAAAGTTATTCTTATATTATCTTAAGTAGGTCAAAGCATCATCACAGTCCAAAGGCATAGTTTTAAAGGTTCCATATTACGCTTTTCTTCATATTTCACAGTCCATCCTATGCACATGTGTGATAATGATTTGACTTGTGACTTATAGTCATCTCTTCATCACAGAAACAACATGATTACAGAGATCCTGAGCATTACAATGATTTATAACCTATGTTGGCAGAGCTGATGTTGGCTAGATGACATTGAAAATGTGTATATTGTTACATATCAAGACAGAGAGGGCCCCAATAGGCCCCAGACCTCAATTTGGGTATGGCTGGTGAAGATGATGTGTATTTTTCTGTTCCTCTTGTTTAGACACAGCTCAGTGGTATAAGCATCATTGCTGGACAACATGTTGCAGAGTTCGGTGACCACACAGTGACTTGGACCCTGATGTTCTCTCTGCAGACTTATCCAGAGGTAATACCTTACTTAACCCTCTTCTCTACAAGATGCAGTACTATTTAAAATGGCCCTGCTCATATACAAAATAATTGAGCAAGACCGTGTTGAACCAGTGCCGAAATCATAGCGAAGCGAGTGCAGCTGCAGTAGCGTGCCAGTGTTGTACTGCAACAAACACAAACTTTAGACACTTTAAACACTTCAGACGCTCAGTGTCAGTTGGAACAGTGTTTCTCAGGGTCAGGGTGGTCATTTGGAAGTTCGAAGAAAGGTTAGATTTGCGGAGAACAAGACTAGGGAGTCTAGTCTGGGCGACAGTGGCTCACTTAGTAGAGCATTGATCTTTAAGGCTGAAGCTCGTAGGTTCGAGCCCACCACGAGACCTACTTCACGACTCCCACTGGTGATTGCTGTCATTTTGTCCTTGGGCAAGACACATAACCCCACTTTGCCTAAAGCCCCCACTCAAAAATCAAGGCTCCTATGGACTCACTACCTGCAGGAGGATCAGTGAGGGGCTGGTGCTCTGTGAACTGGGTGTAGCTCTGACTGCCACCCCCCCGACCCAGAAATGGATTAAGGGGAAGAAGATGGATGGATGGATGATTAGAAGTCAGTGCCCTGACGTCCAGCCTCCGCTAATAGTGTCGTATTCACGGGGCGGCAGTAACGTTGGACGAGATAGAGAGAGCAGGGTACTTTTATTCCCTACATAAGTTTTGGGCCATCCTTAATTGTTATAATTTACAGAAATCCTCAATCTCTTATCACTTTTAAGTTATAGCATTTTAAAAATAAGATTAAAAAATCGAGCATTTTAGATAAAACCTTAGCTACTCCTGGCAAAAACACCTGGTCTTGCTAAGCATTGTGCCTTCATATCATGTGTTCTCCTCAACAGACGCTGAACTGAAAGTGAAGAGTCAGACAGCCCTGCGCAACAGGTTAGTTCTGCTGCTTAATTTTGGATGCATGATGTTTAGAAACTATGGTTTGTAAGAGACATATTTACTTTAAACACTTGGCGGCATCATTTAGAGTGTCATAAACTTAGGTTTGAGTGAGCGTGTCCCTTTAAGACATGTGAATATCTTACTCTGAGTAGTTAAATGTCTCATTTTCAGTTTCCGCATCGGCAAACACTCAAAGCAGTTGCGTAAAGTCATGGGAGCATGAAAACGCATATGTTCACAAGCACTATGTCCCCCATTGTCAACCCCGGTTTTAGTCCTGGTGTGGCTCCTGTTTTAGCCGTTGACAGTATGTTCAGTCTGCTTGCTCAGTCCGCTAATGTCCCCGTGACCACTTTGCGGCTCTCTCTCTCTGCGGATTGGTTGCTGCACGTACGTCCGAGGAAACGTTCAGCAATATTTATCTCCTGCGTGCATACATTTTCCGCTCCTGCTCCTCCCCTTTGACTTTGCCGCGCAGTGTGAGTCTCTAGTGAGCAGTACGTGCGTCTCTAGTGAGCATTCCGTGTGTCTCCACTGAGCAGTCCGTGCGTCTCTACTGAGCAATCCTTGCGTCTCTACAGAGCAGTCCGTGCGTCTCTACTGAATAGTCCGTGCGTCTCTACTGAAAAGTCTGTGCGTCTCTGCTGACCAGTCTTTGTGTCTCTACCGAGCAGTCCGTGCGTCTCTACCGAGCAGTCCGTGCGTCTCTACAGAGCAGTCCGTGCGTCTCTACTGAATAGTCCGTGCGTCTCTACAGAGCAGTCCGTGTGTCTCTACAGAGCAGTCCGTGAGTCTCTACAGAGCAGTCCGTGAGTCTCTACAGAGCAGTCCGTGCGTCTCTACCGAGCAGTCCGTGCGTCTCTACAGAGCAGTCCGTGCGTCTCTACAGAGCAGTCCGTGCGTCTCTACAGAGCAGTCCGTGCGTCTCTACTGAACAGTCTGTGCGTCTCTACTGAGCAGTCCGTGCGTCTCTATTGAATAGCCTGTGCGTCTCTACCGAGCAGTCCGTGCGTCTCTACCGAGCAGTCCGTGCGTCTCTACAGAGCAGTCCGTGTGTCTCTACAGAGCAGTCCGTGCGTCTCTACTGAGCAGTCCGTGCGTCTCTATTGAACAGCCTGTGCGTCTCTACAGAGCAGTCCGTGCGTCTCTACCGAGCAGTCCGTGCGTCTCTACAGAGCAGTCCGTGCGTCTCTACTGAATAGTCCGTGCGTCTCTACAGAGCAGTCCGTGCGTCTCTACAGAGCAGTCCGTGCGTCTCTACAGAGCAGTCCGTGCGTCTCTACTGAACAGTCTGTGCGTCTCTACTGAATAGTCCGTGCGTCTCTACAGAGCAGTCCGTGTGTCTCTACAGAGCAGTCCGTGCATCTCTACAGAGCAGTCCGTGCGTCTCTACTGAACAGTCCGTGCGTCTCTACTGAATAGTCCGTGCGTCTCTACAGAGCAGTCCGTGCGTCTCTACAGAGCAGTCCGTGCGTCTCTACCGAGCAGTCCGTGCGTCTCTACAGAGCAGTCCGTGCGTCTCTACAGAGCAGTCCGTGCGTCTCTACAGAGCAGTCCGTGCGTCTCTACAGAGCAGTCCGTGCGTCTCTATTGAACAGCCTGTGCGTCTCTACCGAGCAGTCCGTGCGTCTCTACTGAATAGTCTGTGCGTCTCTACTGAGCAGTCCGTGCGTCTCTATTGAACAGCCTGTGCGTCTCTACCGAGCAGTCCGTGCGTCTCTACCGAGCAGTCCGTGCGTCTCTACAGAGCAGTCCGTGCGTCTCTACTGAATAGTCCGTGCGTCTCTACAGAGCAGTCCGTGCGTCTCTACCGAGCAGTCCGTGCGTCTCTACAGAGCAGTCCGTGCGTCTCTACAGAGCAGTCCGTGCGTCTCTACTGAACAGTCTGTGCGTCTCTACTGAGCAGTCCGTGCGTCTCTATTGAACAGCCTGTGCGTCTCTACCGAGCAGTCCGTGCGTCTCTACCGAGCAGTCCGTGCGTCTCTACAGAGCAGTCCGTGCGTCTCTACTGAATAGTCCGTGCGTCTCTACAGAGCAGTCCGTGTGTCTCTACAGAGCAGTCCGTGCATCTCTACAGAGCAGTCCGTGCGTCTCTACTGAACAGTCTGTGCGTCTCTACTGAATAGTCCGTGCGTCTCTACAGAGCAGTCCGTGTGTCTCTACAGAGCAGTCCGTGCATCTCTACAGAGCAGTCCGTGCGTCTCTACTGAACAGTCCGTGCGTCTCTACTGAATAGTCCGTGCGTCTCTACAGAGCAGTCCGTGCGTCTCTACAGAGCAGTCCGTGCGTCTCTACCGAGCAGTCCGTGCGTCTTTACAGAGCAGTCCGTGCGTCTCTACAGAGCAGTCCGTGCGTCTCTACAGAGCAGTCCGTGCGTCTCTACAGAGCAGTCCGTGCGTCTCTGCAGAGCAGTCCGTGCGTCTCTACTGAATAGTCCGTGCGTCTCTACTGAGCAGTCCGTGCGTCTCTATTGAACAGCCTGTGCGTCTCTACCGAGCAGTCCGTGCGTCTCTACCGAGCAGTCCGTGCGTCTCTACAGAGCAGTCCGTGCGTCTCTACAGAGCAGTCCGTGCGTCTCTACAGAGCAGTCCGTGTGTCTCTACAGAGCAGTCCGTGCATCTCTACAGAGCAGTCCGTGCGTCTCTACTGAACAGTCCGTGCGTCTCTACTGAATAGTCCGTGCGTCTCTACAGAGCAGTCCGTGCGTCTCTACAGAGCAGTCCGTGCGTCTCTACCGAGCAGTCCGTGCGTCTCTACAGAGCAGTCCGTGCGTCTCTACAGAGCAGTCCGTGCGTCTCTACTGAATAGTCTGTGCGTCTCTACTGAGCAGTCCGTGCGTCTCTATTGAACAGCCTGTGCGTCTCTACCGAGCAGTCCGTGCGTCTCTACCGAGCAGTCCGTGCGTCTCTACAGAGCAGTCCGTGCGTTTCTACTGAATAGTCCGTGCGTCTCTACAGAGCAGTCCGTGCGTCTCTACAGAGCAGTCCGTGCGTCTCTACAGAGCAGTCCGTGCGTCTCTACAGAGCAGTCCGTGCGTCTCTACAGAGCAGTCCGTGCGTCTCTACAGAGAAGTCCGTGCGTCTCTACTGAATAGTCCGTGCGTCTCTACTGAGCAGTCCGTGCGTCTCTACAGAGCAGTCCGTGCGTCTCTACTGAACAGTCCGTGCGTCTCTACTGAATAGTCCGTGCGTCTCTACAGAGCAGTCCGTGCGTCTCTACAGAGCAGTCCGTGCGTCTCTACCGAGCAGTCCGTGCGTCTCTACAGAGCAGTCCGTGCGTCTCTACAGAGCAGTCCGTGCGTCTCTACAGAGCAGTCCGTGCGTCTCTACAGAGCAGTCCGTGTGTCTCTACTGAATAGTCTGTGCGTCTCTACTGAGCAGTCCGTGCGTCTCTATTGAACAGCCTGTGCGTCTCTACCGAGCAGTCCGTGCGTCTCTACCGAGCAGTCCGTGCGTCTCTACAGAGCAGTCCGTGTGTCTCTACAGAGCAGTCCGTGCGTCTCTACAGAGCAACGTCTCTACTGAGCAGTCCGTGCGTCTCTATTGAACAGCCTGTGCGTCTCTACCGAGCAGTCCGTGCGTCTCTACAGAGCAGTCCGTGCGTCTCTACAGAGCAGTCCGTGCGTCTCTACTGAATAGTCCGTGCGTCTCTACAGAGCAGTCCGTGTGTCTCTACAGAGCAGTCCGTGCGTCTCTACTGAGCAGTCCGTGTGTCTCTACAGAGCAGTCCGTGCGTCTCTACTGAACAGTCCGTGTGTCTCTACTGAGCAGTACGTGTGTCTCTACTGAGCAGTACGTGCGTCTCTAGTGAGCATTCCGTGTGTCTCCACTGAGCAGTCCGTGCGTCTCTACTGAGCGATCCTTGCGTCTCTACAGAGCAGTCCGAATCTTGTTAATACTTTTCACCAGGGGTTAGTGGACATGTGTGCCTGTAATATGAGCAGCATTTGTGGGTGTGGTTATATTGAAAGTTTTTGAGTAAATTGAGTTCGTAAAACACTTGCGGCGCAGCAGCGCGGAGGCGAAGCAGCAGCGGTAGAGCTGAGAGGAGCGAGAGCAGAGGGAAATAGTGTTTTTTATTTTACTCACGAGGTCTTCAGTACCAGAGAAGTACTTGGTCTGGTACTGGCTCACTCAGATTCAGAGGAGGAAGACACACAGGTGTCCAGTGAAGCAGACACGGACATTATTGGTGACGGGGAGACAGCGCTCCATAGTCCACAATCAGCCCCTGTGCAGCGGCTGCTTGTCCTCCGTGTGGCCGCGGTAGAAGCATTCTGTGAACGCCAAGCAGGATCCGTGGTGGAGGGGACAGGGGGATCATAACACCGGGCATGTGGGAGAAAGTAGCGGGGGTAGACATCCACGGGGAACACGGGAGACGCGGGAGAAGTCGCGGGAGAGCCGCGGGAAAAAAACACATCGCTAATCGCGTTCACTGCCTTTACCAACAGCGATGATGAGGATGAAAGCAGTTCTTGAGAGAAAATAATCCACAAAAGTGGATCAGAAGTGTTGAAGAGCCTGTTGTATGTTGTTGAGACGATCTGACAAGTTCTGAGCCCATTCGTTTCATCTCTCTGTTTCTAAACGGTAAATCCTGGAGCCTCATTTCCACTGAGAAAAATAGTATGCCCACTACTTCTCTGAAAGGGAAGTATTGAAACCAATCTCAAGATTTCATGACTGTAAACTATAAAGAGTGCTGTCTTGATCACTGAAGGTCTTTGAAAATAATACAATTCCATATGGCCGCGAACCAGTGCTAAAACATTATCTATAATCTGGATCAGGGAATTTATTTCTATCCCAAATTCATTTCATACTAAAGATATTTCACATTGACTGTTTATAGTATTCCCTGATCTCAAATAACTCCCAAGCTACAGCTTTTTGAAGTCTTTATACAATAATTAACATTTTCCAAAATGGCCGCCACCTTGATGACGTCACAATATGCAAATTAGATGACGAATCAACTTCCATCCCAAAGTTTGGTTCAAACTGAAGATATTTCTAATTTACAGTATGCCTTTATCTCAAACCATTTTAAAGTTATAGCCTTTTGAAATCTTGAAATCAAAATTGTATATTTTCTTGAAAAAACTCTGGCGCCTAAAGGGTTAAATGTTTGGTTTCTCCTTTATTTTCCTTGTAACTTTCAGAATGCTGTTCTGTTCATGACCAGATACAAATACAGCTCAGTGATAAAGCTAACATTGTTCTGTGTGTTTGATATTAAGGCCTTTTTATCTCAGGCGGTGGCCAGTGACACACCTGGACACGCAGTGGACCAGTGACACACCTGGACACGCCCTGGACCCGCCCTGGACCAGTGACACGCCTGGACCCGGCATGGACCAGTGACACACCTGGACACGCCCTGGACCAGTGACACGCCTGGACCCGCCATGGACCAGTGACACGCCTGGACCCGGGATGGACCAGTGTCATGCCTGGACAAGCCCTTGGACCAGTGTCAAGCCTGGACACGCCGTGGACCGACCAGTATCAATGAAGTACAATAATACTGGTAGGTACATCCTGAACACACTTACGGTCATCTCTTAAAACACTCTGCTGCATCATTTAGAGTGTCATAAACTTAGGTTTGAGTGAGGGTGTCCCTTTTAATGCATGTGAATATCTTACACTTAGTATAGTTAATGTCTCATTTTCAGTTTAGCTGGTCCTCTCAGTCCTGGTCTGTCCTGTGTGTCACACACACAGATGTTGTAAATGTCTCATATTGAATATAGATGTCCTCATTAACACAGAGTCCTCTCAGTCCTGGTCTGTCCTGTGTGTCACACACACAGATGTTGTAAATGTCTCATATTGAATATAGATGTCCTCATTAACACAGAGTCCTCTCAGTCCTGGTCTGTCCTGTGTGTCACACACACAGATGTTGTAAATGTCTCATATTGAATATAGATGTCCTCATTAACACAGAGTCCTCTCAGTCCTGGTCTGTCCTGTGTGTCACACACACAGATGTTGTAAATGTCTCATATTGAATATAGATGTCCTCATTAACACAGAGTCCTCTCAGTCCTGGTCTGTCCTGTGTGTCACACACACAGATGTTGTAAATGTCTCATATTTAATATAGATGTCCTCACTAACACAGAGTCCTCTCAGTCCTGGTCTGTTCTGTGTGTCACACACACAGATGTTGTAAATGTCTCATATTTAATATAGATGTCCTCACTAACACAGAGTCCTCTCAGTCCTGGTCTGTTCTGTGTGTCACACACACAGATGTTGTAAATGTCTCATATTGAATATAGATGTCCTCACTAACACAGTGTCCTCTCAGTCCTGGTCTGTTCTGTGTGTCACATACACAGGGTGCTGTATGTGTAATAAAGTTGTTACCGGTTGTTGCTTTATTGGAACAGATAAATCTAGGGTTAATGAACATATTTGCAGTTTGAGGTTGTGTAGTGCTGTGGAAGAAAATGCTTGTCCCAGAGTTATTTACCTGCTGTTTACAGCTCTCGTGTATATTTCTCTTGTGTGTTGAGTGGTATCATTACAATTATCCTAACCAAACATGTCACAGGAATAGAATAGATGTGTTTCACTAGTTTATCTTAAAAGTTCCTTCTTTCCATCTTTTCATCTCTCTTGATGGATTTGAAGAATAATGGGGGCTGTTTAAATGTATATCTTAACAAGGAATAGGGGGTACAGATTATGTTTGCGGTCTTAAAAGGGGGCACAAGCACTGGTATATAGAAACTTCATCTATTTAGATGTTTTTGTCTTTTGTGGTTTTAATATTCTGATTCATCTCTTTTAATGTTTCAGAGTTGTTTCATCAAGGCGGATAACAGCAGTGAAGAAGCATCTGAGGCCTCTCATTGGTTTAACTGCCACCATTCAGCAGTGACATAAAGTCCAGGAAATGGAACACACCGTCTTGGAGAGTAGATCCATTCAAGATATTACAGATTTTGAGGTTTGGCCTTAAAGAGGTATTATAAGACTGAATTCTATATGGACATTTAAATGTTTGGTTTCACCTTTATTTTCCGTGTAACTTTCACAATGCTGTTCTGTTCATGACCAGATTAATGAGGTGAACAAATACAGCTCAGTGATAAAGCTAACATTGTTCTTTGTGTTTGATATTATGGCTTTTCTATCTCAGGTGGTGGCGGTCACTGGTCCATGGCGTGTCCAGGTGTGTCACTGGTCCATGGCGTGTCCAGGTGTGTCACAGGTCCATGGCGTGTCCAGGCGTGTCACTGGTCCATGATGTATCCACGGTGTGTCACAGGTCCATGACGTGTCCACGGTGTGTCACAGGTCCATGACGTGTCCACGGCGTGTCACTGGTCCATGGCGTGTCACTGGTCCATGGCGTGTCCGGGGGTGTCACTGGTCCATGGCGTGTCCAGGCGTGTCACTGGTCCATGGCGTGTCCAGGCGTGTTACTGGTCCATGACGTGTCCACGGTGTGTCACAGGTCCATGACGTGTCCACGGCGTGTCACTGGTCCATGGCGTGTCCGGGCGTGTCACTGGTCCATGGCGTGTCCGGGCGTGTCACTGGTCCATGACGTGTCCACAGTGTGTCACAGGTCCATGACGTGTCCACGGCGTGTCACTGGTCCATGGCGTGTCCGGGCGTGTCATTGGTCCAGGCGTGTGTCACTGGTCCATGGCGTGTCCATGGCGTGTCACTGGTCCATGGCGTGTCCAGGTGTGTCACTGGTCCATGACGTGTCCGGGCGTGTCACTGGTCCATGATGTGTCCAGGCGTGTCACGGGTCCATGGCGTGTCCAGGCGTGTCACTGGTCCATGACGTGTCCACGGTGTGTCACAGGTCCATGACGTGTCCACGGCGTGTCACTGGTCCACGGTGTGTCACTGGTCCATGGCGTGTCCGGGCGTGTCACTGGTCCATGGCGTGTCACTGGCCCATGGCGTGTCCAGGCGTGTCACTGGTCCATGACGTGTCCACGGTGTGTCACAGGTCCATGACGTGTCCACGGCGTGTCACAGGTCCATGACGTGTCCACGGCGTGTCACTGGTCCATGGCGTGTCACTGGCCCATGGCGTGTCCATGGCGTGTTACTGGTCCATGGCGTATCCAGGCGTGTCACTGGTCCATGACGTGTCCACGGCGTGTCACTGGTCTAAGGTGTGTCCAGGTGTGAGCAGCCCGGACACGTCATGGACCAGTGAGACGCCTGGACACGCCATGGACCAGTGACACGCCTGGACACGTTGTGGACCAGTGACACGCCTGGACACGTCGTGGACCAGTGGCACGCCTGGACACGTCATGGACCAGTGACACGCCTGGACACGCCATGGACCAGTGACACGCCATGGACACGTCATGGACCAGTGACACGCCATGGACCAGTGACACGCCATGGACCAGTGACACGCCTGGACACGCCCCGCCGTGTCACTGGTCCATGACGTGTCCGGGCGTGTCACTGGTCCATGGCGTGTACGGGCGTGTCACTGGTCCATGACGTGTCCGGGCGTGTCACTGGTCCATGACGTGTCCAGGCGTGTCACTGGTCCATGACGTGTCCATGGCGTGTCCAGGCGTGTCACTGCTCCGTGACGTGTCCACGGCGTGTCACTGGTCCATCACGTGTCCGGGAGTGTCACTGGTCCATGGCATGTCCAGGCGTGTCACTGGTCCATGACGTGTCCACGGCGTGTCACTGGTCTAAGGTGTGTCCAGGTGTGAGCAGCCCGGACACGTCATGGACCAGTGAGACGCCTGGACACGCCATGGACCAGTGACACGGCGTGGCGTGTCGAGGCGTGTCACTGGTCCATGGCGTGTCACTGGTCCATGACGTGTCCATGGCGTGTCACTGGTCCATTGGCGTGTCCAGGCGTGTCACTGGTCCATGGCGTGTCCAGGCGTGTCACTGGTCCATGACGTGTCCACGGCGTGTCACTGGTCTAAGGTGTGTCCAGGTGTGAGCAGCCCGGACACGTCATGGATCAGTGAGACGCCTGGACACGCCATGGACCAGTGACACGCCTGGACACGTCGTGGACCAGTGACACGCCTGGACACGTTGTGGACCAGTGACACGCCTGGACACGTTATGGACCAGTGACACGCCTGGACACGCCATGGACCAGTGACACGCCATGGACACGTCATGGACCAGTGACACGCCATGGACCAGTGACACGCCTGGACACGCCACGCCGTGTCACTGGTCCATGGCGTGTCCGGGCGTGTCACTGGTCCATGGCGTGTACGGGCGTGTCACTGGTCCATGACGTGTTCGGGCGTGTCACTGGTCCATGACGTGTCTAGGCGTGTCACTGGTCCATGACGTGTCCATGGCGTGTCCAGGCGTGTCACTGCTCCGTGACGTGTCCACGGCGTGTCAGTGGTCCATCACGTGTCCGGGAGTGTCACTGGTCCATGGCATGTCCAGGCGTGTCACTGGTCCATAACGTGTCCCGGCGTGTCACTGGTCTAAGGTGTGTCCAGGTGTGAGCAGCCCGGACACGTCATGAACCAGTGAGACGCCTGGACACGCCATGGACCAGTGACACGGCGTGGCGTGTCCAGGTGTGTCACTGGTCCATGGCGTGTCACTGGTCCATGACGTGTCCATGGCGTGTCACTGGTCCATGGCGTGTCCAGGCGTGTCACTGGTCCATGGCGTGTCCAGGCGTGTCACTGGTCCATGACGTGTCCACGGCGTGTCACTGGTCTAAGGTGTGTCCAGGTGTAAGCAGCCCGGACACGTCATGGACCAGTGAGACGCCTGGACACGCCATGGACCAGTGACACGTCTGGACACGTCGTGGACCAGTGACACGCCTGGACACGTCGTGGACCAGTGACACGCCTGGACACGTTGTGGACCAGTGACACGCCTGGACACGTCATGGACCAGTGACATGCCTGGACAAGCCATGGACCAGTGACACGCCATGGACACGTCATGGACCAGTGACACGCCATGGACCAGTGACACGCCTGGACACGCCACGCCGTGTCACTGGTCCATGGCGTGTCCGGGCGTGTCACTGGTCCATGGCGTGTACGGGCGTGTCACTGGTCCATGACGTGTCCGGGCGTGTCACTGATCCCAGACGTGTCCAGGCGTGTCACTGGTCCATGAAGTGTCCATGGCGTGTCCAGGCGTGTCACTCCCCCGTGAAGTGTCCACGGCGTGTCACTGGTCCATCACGTGTCCGGGAGTGTCACTGGTCCATGGCATGTCCAGGCGTGTCACTGGTCCATGACGTGTCCTGGCGTGTCCAGGCGTGTCACTGCTCCGTGACGTGTCCACGGCGTGTCACTGGTCCATGGCGTGTCACTGGTCCATGACGTGTCCACGGCGTGTCACTGGTCCAC